GGCCTTCCGGGCTGCGCAACAGCCGCTCGTGCTCGTGCGCGCGGCAGGCAGCGGGGCATTGTAACCGAAGCCTGCACTGAAATCTGTTTTTACCTCCCTAAAAAAGTTAAAATGGAGTTATTGTTCGCAACACAGTGGTGCACCAAGTTCCGATCACGGCTGTCAAACAGCGTTGTAGAGTGCTTCCAATGCAGATGCACATGCAAAGCAGGCAAATTTTTCCTCGTGCAGGGAAATCTTTGGAGCAAACTTTGAGGAAAACAGTTTCTGCCAGGATTACCTCACAGAGTTTCACCTTACACATGTATTTCCTCTGGATGATTCATCTTGTTTCCTTTCAGTATGTGAATCCATAGGAGTTTATAGCTTTGTACATTCAGCTTTAGCTCAGTGGCTTAATCTCAATGGATTAGGTGTATCATGAATTGACTGTAATGCAGGCAAAAATTACATTGCAGTGTTCATGTGGTGCTGTGTGGACTTACAGTTCAGGCAGCTCAAATGCAGATATCACTGCATTACACAGCTAATAGTGTCAAGTTCTTCCTCTTTTTCTTTTCCTGCAATTACCCTGCATATATGAGAGTTTTTCATATACAGGCCCCTCAGCAGCTCTCTGCAGCATCTCTGGTGCTTTCAGTAGCCCCTGGGATGCCCCTCACAGCTAGATGTAGGGAGAGGGGCCAACACAGAAGTACACACTTGAGCAAATAATCTCTGAGTCCTCTGCAAAGTCATCTGACACTCCCTGAGGCTGAACATTTCCTTTGCACTGGGACTTTAAAGAAAGCCCAAGGCTGCATTTCTTTAAGCAGTTGATCTGCTCTAACAGGCTACTGCCTCCAAAAGGGGTGCTTTTACCCCCCATCCCCTTCATTTTGTGGCTGGCCCTTCCTTCCATGAATTTTTTTGGCTCATTACCCCAGAAGATAGCCACCCGCTTTCTTTTTCCTAATTATTTTTCCTCTGAGCTAACGAGCTCTGTCAGCCAGCGGAGGTGGCAGATAGCACCAGGGGTGGGATGAGTGGCGAGGAGCAGAGCAAGGGATGTACAGATTCCTTGGCAGAGGTGACCCTGGGAGCACCCGTCTGCTGCTGTTCGGGGCACAGCTCGGCTGCCTCTTGGGTGTCCTGCCCCCAGCTCTGCGGTCCCAGAACTTCCCCAGCACTGGTGCAGGCTCTTGGCAGACTGCAGGGTGAGCCAGCCATGGACCTTAACAGAACTGGCAATTTAATACCACAGAAAAGACGAGCAGCTTTTTACCAGCCTTCATCTCCTCAGCCAGCTAGCTGTGGGGTTGGAGAAGAGCCAGGCCAACACATGGGGGCTGGCGAGAAAAGCAGCCAGGTCCAGTGCTGTCTCCAGGAAGGCTGAGCCACCACCTCACCTGTAGCTTTCCCCCAGTCTTGCTTCCTCAGGGAAACCTACAATAGACTTTCAAAAGATGAGGCTAAAAACCGAAGTACCTGATTCTGCAGACTCTAACAATTACAAACTCATTTTAGGCATGTCACAGAGCAACGAAACTTCCTCCCCACACTCTTCAAGGTGCTACAAGTGCTCTCACCACATTGCTTCTCCCCTTGCCAGCTGGCCCTGCTGCCCCACCAGTACAAAGTGTGGGGCTGATTCGAGTAAGGGCGATGAAACTTGTCGCAGAGCAGCTGTCCCCACGCAGGCTGCCCTGCAGCTTTGCTCAGGGCCACAGAGGCGGCTGCAGTAACGTGGTCTTTCTCTCATCAGCGGATCGCTTGGTCTATTGAGAGCAGTGCCTTAACAACAAACCTTATCTCTCTGTGGGTAATTAGTTATGCAATGTTCAAAGAAGAGCCCTGGATGATGCAGAAAGCTGAGCTTGCTAATGAGAGCAGGGCTAATTTCAGAGCAAATGTGTCATCAAGTCATGGAGCCAGCTCCGAGCACAGCCTTTTGGGGCAGAGTTGGCAAGGGTGGGTACCCTGTTAGCATGGCTGGGTCAGGACCTTTGCTGGTGCAGGTGTGCTGCTTGGTCACCAACTTTAGAGGAAAATACCTTTGTTTTTATTTCTTAACGTGATGAATACATTAGCTTCATGTGGCTGTGGATCCTGGGCTTGCTGCTATCAGTTGTGCAGCATTAGGCTGTAAATGGGCACAAGTTTTTGAAGATACTTTTGCAGGTGCAAAATCTCCCTAAAGGCAGATGTGTATGTGACTCTTCCCCAGCACGCAATTATGGGGTAGAGGGTTAATTTGTGCAGCCAGAAGGAGGAGTTCTCTAATCCATGTATTGTGTTTAGAACAGATGGATACCAGCTATCATTTTAAATGTTGATGATGCAACAAAAAAATTTTTGTTTGTGTCTGATTGTAGGAACGACGAGTGTGTGCAGCCATTCTCTCTCATAAGCTGCTCTTGTGGACAGTTTCATTATCAAACACAGGCAGTTAAACATTGTGAGTCAATATTTTCCACCTTCTTCCTTATCCATCTCCCAGATTAGGAGTCACTTAAAAAGAGTTTATTAAAAAGTAGCACTGGGTTCTTATCTCAATTGCCTTCTGATTTTTGAACGCTTACACTGTACATTTTCACACTTTACTTCAAACTACACTGCTTTCCTAAATGAACATGGTGATTGTAACTCAGAGCGCTGAGATTTTAAAAACAGGAAATAAAGAATTTCTAAGAAAAACAGCCAGCCCCACTGGCTTCTACCTTATAAATAGTCTAGCAGGTCTCAGGGATCTTCTCTCCTTACCACCACCTCACCTCAATGCTGCATGTCTGGGCTTAGAGCAGTTACAACCCTTTATCCCAGAAGCGGTGACAGTATGGCCTCACGTCCCATGTTCAAGAAAACCCAGCCTCCTGAGCTCCAGGAGGCCAGAAGAATTGCCTGACGCTGATGAGAGGGTCTTGGTGATGGTATCTGCATGTACAGATGGCATTTGCCGTCTGGAAGCAGAAAGTCTTAGTCCTGGGGTGGGAGAGAGCCAAGGGGATGAGTTGAACAGGAGAGAAATGCCTGATTATCGGTCATAAACAGGTCCTCAAAGGGCGGACAATGTGGTAGGCTTAAGCCGGAGGTGAAGGGTTCAGGGAAGACCTGGCACGGAGGGGACTATTGGGACGGTGTTGTAACTTTATTATTGACTTTGCCCTCTGGGACCTATAATTAACACACGTAGGGAGTTACACATGGCCTGCTGTGCTGACAAGGTGCTGAACCTCATGACCTGAGCTGCTGCATCATTCCAAAGCTCTGCTAACTCAAGAGGGCTGTCTGGGCAGGGGATACCGGGAAGCCCCAGGGTCCTCCCTGCTCCTGCACAAGTGTCCCCAAGGCCAGAGGTGATTTCCTTGCTGGGCTCAGAGCGTGTCTCAGGGGAGGGCACTTAGCAGGTGCTAGCCCCAGGGCTGTGGGTGCTTGGTCTCAGCCCACCTCTGAAATGACATTTTGGATGCCCTGGGCCTGCTGCAACCAGTGCAGGTGCTGTGAGGGAACCTGCAGGCTGTGGTGCCCTGTGCTGGACATGCCCCAGCCCTGAGTGCTTCCACACGGGGCGAGGGCAGGAGGGAGACAACTGCGCCCAGCAGAGGCTACTCTGGGGGGGTGGCGGTCTCCCCTCCTCCTGCCTGCTGCTGCCTCGTGGGAGGCACATGCTACGGCTGTGATGGTAGGCAGGAGCAGCCGCTGTGAGGTACAGTGCCATAACGGAGGGGTGACCCATGCATGAGGCCATGGGAGCAGAAACCTTACTGTCCTGGCACCACCCTGGCTGAACCACCACCTGTCCCCTGGGCATGGTGCTGCAGCGGCT